GAGCCTAGTTCGTAGTATGGCGGGCGTTAGCATGAACATGAACAAGGTGGATTATTTACTTTCTAATCAATTTTCTTTAAAGTCTTTGGAGGAAAAAATGGAAATACAGAGATTGGGAACACATCATCCAAACGATGTTCAAATAACACAAAAGGAAAAACGACAAAATCTTAGTTTTGTGTTACGTGGTTTCAGCTAATGGACTGGCTAACAGCAAGTGTAGCTAGGAATTCACTGTTCTGTTTCCCATGTTTGCTGTTTGGAGGAGACACGGCTTGGACCCAACAAGGAATTGTGGATTTAAAATATTTATCCGACAAAATTAGGAAACATGAATGCAGCACGAGCCACATTGGAAATAGCGTAAAGTTGTGATTGATGGGTAAAGTGAACATCGCCTGTCAGCTTAATGAGGGTCACCGCACCGCTGTACAGAGACACAACGAGCTGGTAAAGAAACACAGGCATTCACTATCACAGATTGTTGACTGTATTACATTTTGTGGGGACACAAGCTCGCCCTGCGGGGGTCCGATTAATCTCCCACTTCACTCCAGCGGGGACCAGTTCTCTTTTTTAGACAGTCAATCAGCAGATCACCTGTCAAACACACAGGTTGCAAAGTACACGTCTAAGACCACAGATTCTCTCAGAGCGAGACAGGGCCTGGACAATGTTTCATGCTTCATATCTGAACTGCTGACCACAGATGACAATCAGCAGCATCCAGATGCGGACACAGCTGCAGCTGCTGTAATGCCGCGCAGGAGGTGGCGCTCTGATAATGTGTCAGTAGCCGCACAGTGCGCTTTGAGAAAGCCAGGCACTTGTTGTCTTTGCATGTGCACATTACTCAATGATCTGCAGGGAAACACTGAAAGGTGAGCTGATGGTGAGGTACAGCACTGTGGAGTTTGACATGGTGATTAACCTGTTTGCTTCACAGAAAGGCCGTCGATGTGAGCGGTGTTTTAAATAAGATATGCCCAAGCTCTGAAACAACTCTCTCTTCTACAAATAATTCTTTTTGCTTTGGTTTAATAGATTTATTTCTGGTACATGGTGTTTTGTCTATAATGTAGTTGTAGCGCAATTGGCATGTGCTGATGTGTACAGAGAGAGAGAGAGAGAGAGAGAGAGAGAGAAGATTTATTTTGGCATCAGGTCATTCTTTTGGGTTTGTCTCCCCAGTGTTGCCGTAGAGCCCTTGCTATAACAAAGTACACAATGTTGTTGCTGTAACTTGATGTGATGCTGCTGTTGCTGCTGTGTGACGTATAGATGAATGTAATGCATTTGTTAGCCCACCCACCCAAAATCTCCACCAGCCGTCACTGATTATGAGGACATTCATGTAGAAAAATAAAAGAATGCAAGGACACTGCAGAACTGTAATTTGGTTTGTGAGACATTATAGTTGGATACACAGTTTGATTGCCAGATATGGGCTCATTAAGGGAGATGTCACTGAACAACGTACAGAGTAATTCTTCCCTGTACCATTTGTTTACATTGATGGTGTACCAGTATGACTGTAAGAAAGATCTTTCTAAAACTCAAAGATTGAAGTTTTTCTAAAGACGAAGAGTAAATTACCTTTTTTTGTTTCTAACTTAAATCATAAAGTTTGAGTTTGATATAAAACAGCAGTGAAGACAGTTGCCTTTAAATTACAAGTTTCCTCAACTTTTTTTTACTGTACATATTGTGAGCTAATTTATACTGTAGGTAAGAGACGTTCTTCTACAGCAATCAGCGACAAACATGGACCACTATTTGTGTAGCAGCAGTCCCTTTTTTAGAGATCGGTTCTCCTGCACAGCTCTGAGATGAGCAGGTCATCTTATTGTTATATTAGTCATTGTGACTGTATTTTTTTGTCCTTGCTTTTTTCTGAAAAAATGTTCCCCCCCAGGGATAATACACATTGTTTCGAATCACTCTAAATGAATCAGCTAAAGTGTGATTTTCATGGGCGGCAGTAGTTCCGTCTGTTGGGACTTGGGTTGATGGTTCATGTTCAGCACAGTATGGAGCGTGGACTGACAGCTGGAGAGGTTTAAGTTTCACATCCTGTGTACCATCTCTCCAAATTTACAAATCTAATGGCCTTCCTATGCCTGATTGTATTTCAGGCCTGTGTGTGTAAAGTAATAGTGAAAAAGGAATTTCCCCGTTGGGGATTAATAAAGTATATCTTCCTCTTCATCACTTCATTCATTCCCTTGGTCAGATGGCAACGACTCCAGTAGCTCCTTCAAATTTGCCACCATTTTGTTTGAATCTGTTATTTCTCCGGCTTTATTGCTGAAAACATTGCTGAATGGTGTCTGATTGGATTTGATCTTAAGGGCTAAGCAAAACCAAAATTGCTCTAATTGACCGGATCAGGCAATGCTGTGACCGCTTGGCTAGCTCCCTCAATTTTTAATCTGTTTTCAGCTTTATTGCTGAAACACATATTACGTATTATTAAAAAGAAGTTTGGGGTTTGGATTAAAGAACAGCAGACTTTGAGACCATTCCACCAGATAGATCAACCAGATGGGACCAGCCCACCACAGTGGGTGCTGTCAGCCCAAGAGGAGAGGTAGAGAGCTAGATAAGAGCCATGCTGGCCCAGTTTGGACTGGCTAATGTCCGGTCTGGTCAAATTCAAAAGATGACTTGCACAATTGTTCCCTGGGTATATACCTGTATGTGTATGTGTATAACTGTATATATTGCCTATTTTGTATGTTATTCTTACATTTCATTTTCTTTTTATGTGCATAAGAAACTGTAAACCTTCATTTTGTAACATGTTAATATGGATTTAACTTAACGTTAGTTGTTGCGGATCGAGGCAGCAATAGATGGATATAACGGAAAGGGCTGTCTGACAGCAAAGTGGTGGAAATATTCTAAAGATAGCATTCACATAAACTGGTATAGAAATTAAACCAAACATTTTCCGTGTTTTCGTGTTTTTGCATCAATTTCTTTCATTTTTCCCCCTTATAAACAACAACTGCACAAAAAACAATGCATTTTGAGAGTTTGTGATAATGCTTCCAGTGTAGAAAATCACATCCTGCATTCTATCTGCAGTTCGTGCCACTAGAACACAGCGACATGATGTCATGTGCTAACAACTTTGACAAAGTGTGTTAACTCTGGGTCTTATCTGACACTCTCCTTCACCTCTCCAGGAACTATTTTGGTGTCTCATCTGTCTGTCGCACTTCTCATCTCCTCTGCTCTCTCCCCCTATTCCTTTCTCCTCTCTCCTGTCTTGGTCATTAAAACCTTACCAGCCTGAGCTAGAAGATGAGGCAGTCGCACCCTCACCTGCTGCTACAGCACCAGGAGATAACTCTTCCTCCAACTGCTCTAACACCTCCTTTTGCTTTCTGAAAAAACTTCTTATATTCATAGCCTTCAAGTCTTACCTTAGCAAAATAGCCACCTAGTTACCACCAGATGCCAACAATGACAAACCCTATAACCTGTGCACCCTCTCTATGTCTTGTGTCTAAGCAAAATGTGTGTGTGCCAAGCCGTGTGAAGTATAAATGAAACAAAAAGGACCCAAATGCATTTTTGATCAACAATGTCTTGCTTCATGATTAATGCATGATTGGAAAGACAGATTAGTCTATCTGCGGCTATTAAAAAAACTAATACAAGACACTTTTTTTCTTTAGATCCGAGGCTATTCATAAAGCAATTGGGGCTGTAGCCTTAGATGTCCAGGCCTAACAACACCACTGACATGTACAACGCAGACAGACAGAAAGCTAAACTATTGATAGCATACAAAGCAAGCCACCAGTGACTATGATCCCAGGTTAAAAAGATTTATTAATACATGCAAAGCAACAGTAAGAGTTGCTAGAAAATATTGTAACATATTAACAATTTGGCCATTGCTTTTCTGTAACTTATAGGGAAAAAAAGCTATTTGACCTCCAATATCTAACTCCTTTTGGTGATCACAGTTTAAACAAAGTGTGAAATCACTTACAGAACTTTCTAGTTCAAGGTTAAGGTTTGCCTTTTAAAACACATACAACCATACAACCAAACCTACACTTAGATTTTCGCAGATTTTGATAGCAACTGAAAACTGAAAAGTGAAAGCTGAATAGAAACTGAGAAATGTCCTGGGATTTCACCTCCTCCCCTTGCTATGTATAACTATCTGTGGCCGGTGGGTCAACAGCTGAACCAGCTGTTTTTTAAATGGATGTTGCAGCATTCCGTGTTTGGCCTGAATATGATTTGCATAAATATCTCACTCACATTCTCAAACTTACAGAAAAGAAAAAATATATATATTTGGAAGAGGAAACTGGGATTGGGAAATGCTAACTCAGTTTGACTTCCTGCATAATCTGACTTGGCAGCCATGTCAAACCGAGAAAATAGAATTACTCCAACGTGGGATTTTACTTGGCCAACATGCCATTATCTGAGTGACATCCAGCACCTTTACACACTCCTTCAAAAATATGATTTTGCGCCTCTTTTCATAAATCCAATCCAATTTTGAATACAATACAATACAATTTCCTGTTAGCTTAGCTACATCCATATGCTTATTCTCTTTTTTTCTGAAAGTGAAATGAAAAGCTATATCACTCTGATATTCAAATATGAGGCAAGAGCCAGGAGGCAATTAGCTTAGCTTAGCATTAAGACTGGAAACATGTGGAAACAGCTAGCCTGTCTCTGTCTAAAGCTCTAAAGCTCACTAACGAACATAGTATCTCATTTGTTTGATTTATACAAAAGTTGTGCTTTTACAGGAAGTCTGTGTTTTAGACTTTGATGTCCATCTTTTATATGTTGATGGTCTTGACCCATCAGTCTACTGCTGTCACCATGTTCAGTCTAAGTAGTGGATGTTTTGAGTATAATGTTAATATTACTGAACAATTTCATTTAAAAACCACTATGAATAAAAGTATTTTTCATTTGACCTGCAGTATATACAGTGAGAGCAAAGAGTGACTCACAGCCAGGTAGAGTGCAGCATAGACACTGAGTGCTGCTTCCTTGGATGGGAATGTCTTGCGGGCACGCATGATATCATCCTGGTTCCCTGTGCAGGCCTCTTGGTGGCTGATGTAGCGCAGGGCCTGCTGGCAACCCAGCGCTGTGTAGTTTGGCTTACAGACCGTCAGGAAGTAGGGTGCCAGGTTCCCTGTCACAACCTGGCCTGCATTGACAAAGATGTCCACGGTGAAGAGGCCAAAGGTGTAGACTCCTGGGAAGAAAAAAGAAAATGTTAAGAGATTGGATTGCAGAGCTTTAGAAAAGACAAAAACACAGGACGGCAATGATCAGAGAAAATCCCTTTGAACCCTTCCAAGAGTCTTACAGCAGAGAGTGAGTATGTGACTGACAGACAACTAGCAACACAAATGTATCAAGGTTAATTTATTTTGCACTTTAGTTGCACAATAACAAAAGAGAGTGTGTACAGCATGTGCAATGTCAGTGTAAGGTTTCATGTCATTTATTTAGGGTGGAGTGCGGAGGAATAGTTGAGGAGTCCTACAGCCTAAGAGAAGAAGCTGTGTTTAAGTCTGGTGGTACGGCAGCGGATACTTTTGTATCTCTTGCCAGACATCAGCAGGCAGAAAAGGCTGTGGCTGGGGAGGGTCCTGTCTTTCAGTATCCTCTGGGCTCTGTGCAGGCACCTCATCTCACCAATATCACTAATGCTTGGAAGCTGAGTAACAATGATCTTCTGGGCGGTTTTAATCAGCCGCTGCAGAGTCCTCCTATCCTTGGCTGTGCACATTGCATGCCAGTTTGTGATGTTACCAGTCAGGATGCTTTTTGTTCCTCCTCTGTAAAAGTTGACAAGAATTTTGGAATTTTTAGAGATGTTGAGGAGGCGTTTTTGCAATAGGTGGTGACACAGGAACCCCAAGATCCTGGCTAAACTATGAAGCTCAAAGGTTCAAAAAGGCTCACAACTTGAGGTGATTATTTACAGTCAAATAATTCATCATGCAGTTTTATGGCTATATATTTGGACTGGTAAATTTGATCAGTTTACCTGCTATGGGCAGATTAATTTTGGAGCCTGGTTTCCTCCGTTCAAATATATCTTGTGTTCAAAAGTTGATATAGCTGCACTACCCTTAATAAGAAGCATCTTGCATTCAGTAATGTTCTGGTTCTGTCAGTAATGTTATCTGACGTTCAGAGAAATTCAGAAGAAGAGGCAGCAAAACAGCTTTTTCTCACAAAATCATATTAAGGTCCTTTCAGAGGGGTTGCAGCTGCTTCAAAGTTGGTGTTCTCTATTTTGAATCAGCAGGGTGTATCTCCATAATGAAGTTAGGCAGCAGTGTCAAATAGAGAGCGGCAGCCATCGCCTCTCTCCTTGCCGCTGCCGCCACTGACCTCAGTGCCACACCTGCTGTTTGTTTGAACATTGAAGGTAGATTCAGCAACCACTCACTGTCTAAAAAACCTTTATAGAGACTGCATGTCTGTGCATCCCAGATACCTCCCAGTCACAATGTTTGTTTACAATAACTTCTGTAGAAAACCCCTGCATAGCCTACATACAATTTAATGGGAAGTGTATACATCTAATTCATCTTAAATGCATGTTTTATGCTTTCATATGTCATTTATAACACACTTTCATTAACTGAAGTTGGAGTTGGGCCACAGACTAAAGAGAATGAGAGCTCAGGTTTACCCACAACTAGCAGTTTACACTGTATTCAGACCAAATCAGGTGTTGCTGCAAATAGCTGCAGTCTGCTGCAGCGGTGTGGGGGTGTTTATTTGTGCTTAGGCCTCTCCTCTCTCCTGTCTCTCTACCATCGCTGTCTCTCTCTCTTTATCAAACCAAAGAAAACTTCTAGTTATCACTATTTTGCAGCATAGTATGAAAGCCAGACCCAGTCTTCAAAACTGGGTACAGGAAATAAACCAAGCGATGAAGCTGGGAGGGTATCATAGTTTCATAGCTGGCAAGATGGATTCTTGCATGATTTTGTGATCTCACAAGTCTTACTGCCTTGCAAGGCTACAAGGCTGACAGGGATAACATTCCTATTTACCACTGTAGACCTAAGGTTCAACTACTGGTAACAACATATAATAAAGAAATTGTCTCCAGTTCTGATAGAGCTGTCCACCCCCGTAGCTTCTAGTACTTCCTCAAAGAATACTGAATGGTCCGGTACTACCGTAGTTAGGCCAATGCATTATTCTTGTGAGTCCACATCACACCCACATCAGGATCACCACTCTGTTTTTTCAGTGAGAATGATTCCCTTTAACTACAGACAAAACCCTTTTATCTCACAGCAGAGACCTTCTCACACTGCATGACACTGCATAAAACAGGTCCGCTGTCTACAGGGACACCACAGTACCAGAAACACAATCCCCTGCTGCTCACCGATACCAAGAGTCACCCAGGTGCCACCGTCCATTCATACTGCTCTTAACCAAACCAGCCAGGCTTTACGTCTTAGTGATTGAAGGGCTTTAACAGAAATAATTGCTTCCCTCCTACGAGAGCCCGGCCCTCTGTCACACTAAATTACCAAACAGGGGCTTAGTCAGACAACTCTTTCTCACACATATTGAGAGAGGTGTTCACCACATCAAACACACACACACACACACACACACACACACACACACTGCTGGGGTAACAATAGCAGCTTTTCCAATCACTGTCAAGTGTTTGTGCTCCTGCAAACTAATTCAACCCAGGCTTTGAAGCACATTTTACTGGGAAACATTCATGAAAATGGGCAGCGAGGCGTCATGGCTGTTAAGCAAGGCACTCATTGCCTTTTCCTTTCTCACTCCTCATCAGTCGCACAGAGCAGCGGTGTGAGGCTCCAGGTGCTGACAGGTCCATTTCTTAACAAGCATCAAATAGGTTTTGTCAAGCATCGTGTGACTCATTGGCTGAGCACTCGCCACACAGCGCATTGGCCTGATGCTGTCCCACTTTCTCCAACACGAACATGGAAACGTTGACTCACACTCACTAGCTAACCCCCTCCTCTCTCATCCTGTCTGGCTTTGGGAACACAGAGAGGGACAACCAAAATTGCTTATTAGGGCATAAATCTAATTCAGTTTGCCTGCTTCAAACAATGCCATGATCTGCTGCAGAGTGTGGCCATGCATGTGTATGCTCAGGAGTCTAAGTATGCATGCTTATTGTGTGTATGTGATCCTTCCTGCCTTTGGGTATGTCTGTGTCGTTGGGTGAGCCGGGTTGAAGCAATGCACCTCTTCTTTGATCCGGTGCCAGCGTCTCCACAATGCTGCAGTGTGATGCACAACCCAGTCAGTCTCAAAGTTATCACAGTTTCCCAGACTCCCTGTGTGCTCACAAACACTTTGACACACACAAGTCAAAGGTAGAGACCTCCTCAAAACACTGGGGCTGAGTGGTGAATATGAAGATGTGACTAAGCTCAATGTCACAGAACAAGACAATGTTGAAGCGTGTGGTCATATTTCACTGAAACGTGACAGTGGAGAAGATTGCAACCAACAGAAACCCAGTGATGGGAATAACAGCGTTACTAACGGCGTCACTTTTTTCAGTAACGAGTAATCTAATTGATTACTCTTCCCATCTTAATAACGCCGTTACCGTTACTGCCAAAACATGCGGCGCGTTACTATAATTGAAGCTGTTTTTTTCATCAGACCAACTAGATGTCTGAGCCGAGAGGCTTTTTTTTACTGTTCTTCCTTGGTTAGTGGGCAGTGCACGAGACAAGCGCATGAATGCTGACGATTGGCTGAGGTTGAGTAAAATTTCATGGTAAGCCAATCAGAGGTAGAGTTGGGCGGGTGTTCGAAAGCACGCATAGTCGGACTAACAACGAACAACACAAGCGAGTCAGTCAACGAGAGACAGGTATGGCGAGTTGTGTTGCATCTTATTACATTTGCACTAAAAAGAGTGTATATATTGTTTGAATACATTTTTGGTACATTGCTTAAAGAGCATAATTTAATTTAGATTTATTTGTTGGCTGGCTGCAGCCTCTTGAAGTGAGATTGTCAATGGCCAGAGAAAGAGATTTATTTTTATGGAGATGTATTTTTTATTTCTTATGTATTACCTATTTATATTTAATGACCTTCTGATTGCTTCTGACAATGGACTTGTCTCTGTACTTGTATTATTAGATCTTAGTACTGCATTTGACACCATTGACCATAATATTCTTTTACAGAGACTTGAGCATCAAATTGGCATTAAAGGAACCGCACTAAGCTGGTTTAAGTCATATTTATCAGATCGTTCGCAGTTTGTACATGTTAACGATGAATCTTCAATAAATACAGTTAGTCATGGAGTTCCACAAGGTTCTGTACTTGGACCAATACTATTTACTATATATATGCTCCCTTTAGGCAACATTATTAGGAATCACTCCATTAACTTTCACTGTTATGCAGATGATACGCAGTTATATCTATCGACAAAGCCCGATGAAATTAATCAATTATCTAAATTACAAACATATTTTAAGGACATAAAATCCTGGATGAGCTGCAATTTTCTGATGTTAAACTCAAAATTCAAACATTCTTGTTCTTGCCCCAAAAACCTTAGAGACTCACTGTCTAAAGATATAGTTACTCTAGATGGCATTACCTTGGCCTCTAGCACCACTGTCAGGAATCTTGGAGTTATCTTTGATCAGGATTTGTCTTTTAATTCCCACATGAAGCAGACCTCTAGGACTGCCTTCTTTCATTTACGTAATATTACAAAAATTAGACACATCCTACACCAGGCAGATGCAGAAAAACTAATCCATGTATTTGTTACTTCAAGACTGGATTACTGCAACTCTTTATTATCAGGTTGCCCCAATAAGTCAATTAAAACGCTCCAATTAATAATACCAATAAGAATGCTGCAGCACGAGTACTGACAGGAACTAGAAAAAGAGATCACATCTCTCCTGTACTAGCTTCTCTGCACTGGCTCCCTGTAAAATGTAGAATAGAATTTAAAATCCTCCTCCTCACCTATAAAGCTCTTCATGGTCAGGCCCCTTCATATCTTAAAGAGCTCATAGTATCCTATTACCCCTCTAGAACACTACGTTCTCTGAATGCTGGGCTACTTGTGGTTCCTATAGTCTCTATAAGTAGAACAGGAGCCAGAGCCTTCAGTTACCAAGCTCCTCTCCTGTGGAACCAGCTTCCAGTTGTGGTTCGGGAGGCAGACACCTTCGCCACATT